CCGCCGGGTTGCCGCCGCTGCCGGGCGTGGTGCCGCTGCTCTACGCCATCGTCGCGCTGCTCTTCTTCTTCCGGAAGGTCGCCGTGTTGGTCAGGGGGTGGCATGCGTTGCGGGAATGACCGTGTCCGCCGTGCCAGGAGGAGGAGGAGGAGGAGGAGGAGGAGATCTTGGAGACCTGCTCAAGTTGAGTGCCCTGTCCGGCCTTGTGCTGGTCTTCAGCGTGCTCTCTTTGATTTCAGCGTTGTTTTCTTGCTCATTCTTCCCTCCTCTGCCTTGTCCTTGTCCTCTTCCTTCCTCCTCGCTCGTCCGTCCATCCTCCCTCTTGAACGCCTCTAGAAGGTTTTTTCAGGGCTCATATGCATCCAGGCCCTTGCAGGCGAAAACATACGAACATGAAAGGCGCTGTCATATTCCAATGGCTTCTATACGGCCTTTGAGAGGACCCCAGCAATCTCCGAACACGGCCTCATGACGGCACAGTAACCCCCCAAGACAGTCCAAGACCGCCCCAAGAGAGCGCCGAGACGGCGTCACCACTCGAACTAATCGCTTCAAGATGGCTCCTCCGAGCCGTTTCGGGAGATCTCGATAGAACCGTGTCGCCAAAAAGCGGCCCCAAGGCGCCCACATGCAACCGATAGCACCTCTTGTCAAAAGGGTCCCACAAGACTTGGCAGGCCTCCTTGGCCGTCCCCCGGGGTTTTCGCGGGGCCTCGTAGGTCCTGTAAGGGCAATTTCGAAACATATTTTTGGGCTTGGAGTCTTTGTACTTAGGGTCGGGGCCTTCTTTGAGATCTCTTGGGGTGGCCTCGCCCCGCAGTAGGAGAGTTGTTCTCTTGTTCCCGCCAGCGATGAGGGCGTGGGGCGCTCCCAGAAAGCTGTACCTACCAGACAGCCAAGGAGGCGTTCTAACACGCCCCTGCGCTCATCGCGGAACTCTTCCATGCCTGAGCGCCCTCCCCTTCCTTCCCCGCGCGGCCGCCCTCGTCTTCGTCTCTCCCTCTTGCACGCCGCATAATTTGCCGATCGGTTGCCCCGATTAGCCCCGCGATGGTGCGGACTGCCTCTGCCTCGCCGCCGACGGAAAAAGCCGAGGGCACCGTGGCAGATCCTCGTCTGCGAGCTTGTTCATGAGATCGCTGCCTGCTTGTCCTAGTGCTCGGCGAAGTTTGGAATCTCACTTTAGGTGTAAGGCAGATGCGGTAGGTTCGTCTCGTGTCGACGCGGCGGCAACAACGGCGCTGGCTTTCAAGGTTGAACCCTGGCGGCGGCTCGGAATCGGCCGACGTCGAGCGATCCGCGTTGTTGGCAAGCCAGAAAACCGCTTTCTGCCGCTGCTGGCAGGGGGTGTGTTTCACGCCCCCCCCCACCCCCAAAATCAAGGGTTGGGGTCCAGAAGCCCCTGCCCTCCACCCTGGGAAAATGGGTGGGGGGTCTGGACCCCTCCCTGTGCCGCCCTCCCGCGGGAAAACCAGGGGGGGTCCAGAATTCCCCCCCCGGGAAAAATAATTGGGGTGTCCACAAGATTTCCCCCTGGTGACGATGACGACGACGGCGACGAAGACGACGACGACGCATGACGCACGATGCACGACGCACGACGCACGACGCACTACGACGACGCCGGCGCGGATGCCGATGCCGACGCCGACGCCGATGCCGACGACGATGACGACGAAGGCGGCGACGGTGACGACGACAAGGAAGACGACGACGACGACGACGACGACGCACGATGCACGACGCACGACGCACGACGACGACGACGAAGACACCAGCGCCTGCGCCAGCGTCGACGCCGACGCCGATGCCGACGCCGACGACGGCGACGGCGACGACGACGACGACACCGACGTCGACGACGACGACGCCGACGACGACGACGATGACGACGACGCTGCCGCCGCCGCCGATTGCTACGACGCCGACGACGACGACGCCGTCGACGACCGACGCCGACGACGACAACGAAGAGGATGACGAAGACGACAAAGACAACGACGACGATGACGATGAAGAGCAGAGTAAAGTAGGCGTAGAGTAGAGTATATTATGAAACGAGTAGAGGGTAGAGTTGAGTCGAATAGAGCAGGGTGGGATACAGTAGGCTAAAGTAGAGTTGGGTAGAGTAGAGTAGAGTAGGAACAACGGAGAGTAGAGTAGAATATGTTGGGGTACGGTATTGTAGAGTATGGTGGGTTAGAGTAGGGCAGAGTAGAGTAGAGAAGAGGAGAGTAGAGTAGATCAGGAGTAGAGTAGAGTCTAATAACATGAAGTAGAGCAGAGTATGTTAGGGTAGGGTACAGCCGAATTTGATTAGCAGGTCTATCCTTCCAGATCAAGGGTACTCTTGTGTCCTGTGTTTCGCGTCCCACCTCCTCTGCAGTCCTGGGGCAGCGTGGCTCTCGTAAGGGTCTTGTGTCCTCTCTCGTGCCAACTTCAATCAAGCCCAACTGTAGGGTAGAGTAGAGTAGGGTAGAGTAGCGCAGGGCAAATAGAGTCGAGCAGAGAAGAGTATATGGGTAGAGTCGATCAGAAACAGAGTTGGGCAGAGCTGGGTCGAGTAAAGTAGGAGTAGGGTAAAGGAAAGTGAGAGCAAATACGAGTATAGTAGAGCATGTTGGGATACGGTAGGGTAGGTCGAATAGAGAAGAGTAGAGTAGAGTAGGACATAGCAGAGCAGAGTAGAGTGGGGCAGAGTAGAGTAGAGGATGAGTCAAGTAAAGTAGAGTAGGAGCAAAGTGGAGTAGAGCAGAGTATGTCATAACGGTACGGTAGAGTAGAGTAGAGTAGAGTAGAGTAGATACAGCGGGGCATAGTAGAGTAGAGGATCGAGAAGAGTAGCGTAGAGCAGAGTAGGGTAGAATAGTGTAGAGTACAGTAGGGCCCTAGTAGGGTACTGAGAGAGCTGGAATGAGCCCCAGTAGCATTCTATCAGAGCCCGCGCCTGGGGCGGGCGCTGGCGACAGGTGCGCCACCGTCGTCGCTGACGTCGTTCGTCGTTCGTCGTCGTGGTCGTCGTCGTTGTCGTCGGTCGTGGTCGTCGTCGTCGTCGTCGTCGTCGTCGTGGTCGTCGTCGTGGTCGTTGTCGTGGTCGTCGTCGTGGTCGTCGTCGGGGGGGCGCGTGGTTGCGGACCACCCCGCTGATTTTCAGGGGGGGGGGCGCGGGGGCGTCCGGACCCCCCCGCTAATTTTCCCCGGGGTTCGGGCTGGGTGTGGGGGGGTCCCCGACACCCCCCACTAATTTTTGGTTGGGGGAGTGTCCCAAACCCCCGAGGTTCTTCTCAGGGGGGGGGTCTGTGCTGTGTGTGTGTGTGTGTGTGTTTGTATGTGTGTGTGTGTGTGTGTGTGTGTATGGGGGGTTTGAGAGGGGTGACGGGCCTTGGTTCCTTGGTTTTGGGCCCCCGCTTGGGAGTTTTTGGAGGAGGAGAGGGCTCCCTGGACGGTCAACGGTCAGGCCATCGACGGCGGATTGCATCGCGCTCCCTGGAAAGCCTCGATCGTTCGAGGTTGGGCGGTCTGCGCGATGTCCGAGACCAGCGCGCAAGTCGTCGCGGCGTGAATCTGCCGCAGCCTTCCGAGGAGTGCATCTCGATGAAGCATCTAATGTGTGTGCAGTCGTCCTCTCAGCACCTCGTGGGGGCGTTCTCTGACGTGCCTTGTTTTTTCCTCCAAGCACAGGTGGTCTTCATGCAGCATATCCAGGCCCGAACTTCACATCGCGTTAACTCACGCGGCAGCGATGCCAAATAGTTCGTTGAAGCCCGTTGCGCATCCATGAAATAGCCGAAAAACGTAATGGGCCCCAGTGTTCAGTGCTTTGCCATGGTTCTTTCTTCATCCCCCTGGTGTGTCCCCGCTGCCACGAACCACAGTAACTCCAGGCGTCGTGCCCCTCTCGGGAGTCCCCAACAAGTCCTTGGACGTCGCCGCGGGGGCCCCTGGAAACCCTGGGAGGCCCAAAGGGGCCTCAGGATTCTTGAGGCCTGCTGAGCCAGGAGAACCGAGGGCCTCGAGGGTCGAGGAACGACGCCTCCTAAGCCAGGAGGCCTCGATCCTCGATCCTCGATGCCGCCCTCGGTCCGGGCCTGCGCGCTCGGGGGCCGAGAACTGCACGTGTATATCGACCCAGGCCAGGCCCACCCTGGGCCCACGACAGTCAGGAGGGAAGAGCAGGCACAGACACAATGAAACGTCGATTCCCTGATAACTGTAGGAAGATATTGGAAGTGGAGGGGAAGACGAAATTCCAGAAAACAGCGGGAAATATGGGGAGCCCAGGGATTTGTGTCTATCTCTAAGTGTGTCCTTGGGCCCCTTCCCAGGCCAGGCCCACCCTGGGCCCACGACAGGCACACACACACGTGCTCCTCCTTGGCCCATGCCAGGAAAACGCACCCGCCGATCCTGGGTCCAGGGTGGGTTCGCCCCGAAGTTGGTGCCGTCGTCGTCGTCGTCGTCGTCGTCGTCGTCGTCGTCGTCGTCGTCGTCGTCGTCGTCGTCGTCGTCGTCGTCTCGGCCCTATCACTCGTTCTGTCCGTCCTGCCATCGGTCGTCCCGTCGGTCCTATCGTGCGTAGCCGCCGTCGTCCCGTCGGTCTGGTCCCGCGCCCGTCGGCGCCCCCCGGGTCGAAAGGCAGCTTCTGCAGGGGCAGGGCTCACGGCCAGGGCCGGTTCGAGTCCGCGGACGGGGGCTCCACCTATCCCAGATGGGCTCCGTCGTCCTTCCGCCCGCGGGTGTCGATGGCGGCCAATACGGCGGTGATGACCATGGATGAGAACGAGGACGAAGGGGAGGAGGATGCGGGCGACAAGCAGGAGGAGGAGGAGGAGGAGGAGGAGGAGGAGGAGGAGAAGGAGGAGGAGGAGGAGGAGGAGGAGGCGGTGGAGGCGGAGGAGGAGGAGGCGGCGGAGGAGGAGGAGGAGGAGGCGGAGGAGGAGGAGGGCGACGAGGAGGAGGAGGGCGAAGAGCGGGCATGTTGCTCCCCGTGGTGGGGCCAGTGGACCTCGGGCAGTGGGAGGCAGACCGCGCCCACGGGCACGGCACCTTCACCAAGGCCAGTCCCGAGGAGGAGGAGGAGGAGGAGGAGGAGGAGGAGGAGGAGAAGGAGGAGGAGAAGGAGGGGGAGGGGGGGGAGGAGGAGGAAGAGGAGGACCAGTGTAAAACCAAGATGCATCAATGATACCGCAATGAATCCTCCCTCCAAGTTTCCCCTTCATAGGTCTCTAGTCTTTGTATAGGCTCCCTCTTCATAGGTCAAATCATTTGTTTTCATTGCGGGAACTGGCCCATTAGAAGACAACCGTGTGATAATCTCAGTCGTGTCAAAACACCATTCCTTGGACTTCAACGCCACGGATCAAGGTGACTGTTGCGTCCTGATCGTCCTAAATCGTGCCAGAATGCCACCCCTGGGACTGCAGCCATAGGAACCCTTGAATCTGTTGCAAACTTTTGGGACGAATATGCGCGGCGCTAGTTACGGCGAGAGCCACATTTTGAAAAGGAACCGCCCTTCATCTGTGAAGCTGGTGCAAACTTGTAACATTAGTGTGCGCGGCTACAAAGCTAGAGCGCGCATTTGAAAAGGACCCGCCTTCCATCCGTGAAGCTGCTGCAAGATTTCAAGAAGAATGCGCGCGGCGCTGAGGCGAGAGCCACGTTCCGTAAAGGACCCGCCCTCCATCCGTGGAGTTATTGCAAGCTTTTTAAGGCGAATGTGCGCGGCGCGAATGTGAGAGCCACATTTTGAAAACGACCCGCCCTCCGTCCGAGCAGCTGTTCGAATTTCGAGCTTCGGGATCATTCATGCGAAACGTCCGGCCCTCCCTACCGACACGCCTGGGTGTGCGACAGGGGGGAGTTAGTCAGATGGAAAAGTGATGGAGGCGGAGGACGAGAATGAAGAGGAGAGGGAGGAGGATGAGGAGGAGGAGGAGGAGGAGGGGAGGAGGAGGAGGAGGAGGAGGAGGAGGACAAGGAGGAGGATTATGACACGGCGGAGGAGGACGATGATGATGATGCTGCTGCTGCTGATGATGCTGATTCTGATGATGATACTGCTGATGATGCTGATTATGATCATGATGGGTGATGATGATGCTGATGATACTGATGACGATGACGATGCTGCTGCTGCTGATGCTGCTGCTGCTGATGATGATGATGATGATGATGAGGATGATGATGTTGCTGCTGCTGCTGATGCTGATGCTGATGCTGATGCTGATGCTGATGCTTTGTGGTGGTGGTGGTGCTGCTGATGATGATGAGGAGGAAGAGGAGGAGGAGGAGGAGGAGGAGGAGAAGGAGGAGGAGGAGGAGGAGGAACAGGATGAGTTACTGCTGCTCCTTCTCCTCTCCAGGGGGGGAGGGACGGAGGGGAATGGAATGGATGAGTCGGGAGTATGTATTCCCAACCTTCCTGTGGTGTTGGGTCTTCGTTTTGAAGAGACAGCGCCTTGCGTCACTCCTTCCTTCCTTCCTCCTGCCCCCTCTCTCCCCAGTCCCCATCCGTGCTTCTGCCCTCCGCACCAGTCAACAACCATCTCGGCACACCTCTCACACGCTTCGTGGCCCCGCAGGGAGCTCCACCGAGGGCCCCAGTGGCTGCGCTCGCATGGCCCCCCCGTGCTCATGTCGGTACACCCATCACAGGTTTCGTGTTCCACCTGAGGCCCCAGTGGCTGCGCTGGCACGGCACCACCGCGCTCATGTCGGCACACCTGTCACACGCTTCGTGGCCCCATCGGGAGCTCCACCGAGGGCCCCAGTGGCTGCGCTCGCATGGCGCCACCGCGCCTACTTCGGTACCTCTCTCACACGTTTCGTGGCCCCATCGGGAGCTCCACCGAATGCCCCACTGGTTGTGCTCGCATGGCACCGCCGCGCTCATGTCTTCACCCCTCACACGTTTCGTGGCCCCATAGGGAGCTCCACCGATGGCATCAGTGGCTGCGCTCGCATGGCACCACCGCACCGATTTCGGCACACCCCTCACACGTTTCGTGGCCCGATCTTGGGCACCACCGAGGGCCCCAGTGGCTGCGCTCGAATGGCACTACCGCGCTCATGTCGGCACACCCCTCAAACGTTTCGTGGCCCCATAAGGAAGCTCCGACGAAAGACCCAGTGGCTGCGCTGGAATGGCACCACCGCTCTCATGTCGGCACACCCTCAAACGTTTCGTGGCACCATAAGGAAGCTCCGACGAAAGACCCAGTGGCTGCGCTCGCATGGCACCGCCGCGCTCATGTCTGCACACCCCTCGCACGTTCCCATAAGAAGCTCCACCGAGGGCCCCAGTGGCTGCGCTCGCATGGCACCACCGCGCCTATTTCGCCCCCTCACACGTTTCGTGGCCCGATATGGAGCTCCACCGAGGGCCCCAGTGGCTGCGCTCGCATGGCGCCACCGCACCCGTTTCGGCACACCCCTCACACGCTTCGTGACCCCATACGGAGCTCCACCGAGTGCACCAGTGGCTGCGTTCGCATGGCACCACCACACCTATTTCGGAACACACCTCACTCGTTTCGTGGCCTAATATGGAGCTTCGCCGAGGGGTCCAGTGGCTGCGCTCGCATGGCACTACCGCACCTATTTCGGCACACACCTCACACGTTTCGTGGCCCCATCAGGAGCTCCACCGAGTGCCCCAGTGGCTGCGTTCGCATGGCACCACCGCGCCCATTTCGACACACCCTCACACGTTTCGTGGCCCCATAGAGAGTTCCACCGAAGGCCCCAGTGGCTGCATTCGCATGGCACCACCGCGCTCATGTCGACACACGCTTCACACGCGTTCGCATGTGTTCACCGCGCTCATTTCGGTACATCCCTCACACGTTTCGTGGCCCCATATGGAGCTCCACCGAAGACGATATTTACACTTGCGTTACTCACAACTGCTTATGGTTGGGTCTTTCGCCAGGCTACTTCTACCCTCCCAGGGGTGCATCGTGGCCACGGCGGCTGGACGCAGCTCAAACATCCTGCCAGGATGGAACCTGTGGGTGGACGAAGGACCTGCTGTTTGGGCGGATGTACGAGGGAACGAGAGAGATGGGAATGAGGAGGGATGGACGGGAGGGGGGAGGGAGATGGAAGGGAGGGGACAAGCTGCGTCACGTCTGACCTCCTAGCCCTTTCACCCATCCCTTCCCATTGCGCTGGTTTCTGTCTCTATCCGCCAAGTGCCGCAGCTGACCTGGAACCTCTTGAGGGGCCCCATCGTGGCATGTGCAATCCGTAGGAGCTGGGTATATTGGAGGAGTTGGCGGATGAGCAGGCGGATGAGCAGGAGGAAGAGGATGAGGAGGGAGAGGATGAAGGTGGAGGACGAGGATGAGGATCAGCGGCAGCAAGAACAAGTGGGAGAAGCGGGAGGAGCAGGAAGACCAGGGGAAGGTGGGGGAGGGGAAATGAGCGTGACGACAACAATGAGGAAGGATTCGGATCTGGAAAAGTGACCCGCGCTATGGTGAGAGCGCCAGTCTGAACGATGGGGGCACATCGCCGATCCTAACATGATGCACAGGCTGCAGCGGGAGCAATGTTGTGAAACACCGAAAGTATGGGGATATACGAACACGCAACTCCATTGTCCGTCCTCCGTGGCCTCGCCTCCTCCTCCTCCTCCTCCTCCTCCTCCTCTGAGGCTTTCAGTTTAGAGCTCGCGTGGGATGACTCAGGGACGTAGCCTAGTCTTCGAGGACCTGTCAGTTTATTTCATCGCTTCGCTCATTCCGCCAGCCCATACTGCCTCGCCGCTTGGGGGCCGTGTTGGGTCCTCTTGAGGGCCTCTGGGAGGCAGTTGTGAGGTCTCCTCGGGGCCGTGTTGGGGCCTCTTGGGGCCTCTTCTTGGGGGCCTCTTCTTGGGGTGCCTCTTGGGGGCCCCTCAGGGGCCTCTTGGGGGCCTCTTGGGGCCTCCTGGGGGCCTCTTGGGGCTGAAGGCTGGACTTTTCGGTTCCTGGTCCCCGTCTTGGGCCTCTCTTGGGGCCGTTTTGGGGCCATCTTGGGCGCCTCTTGGGCTGTCTTGGGGCCATCTTGGGCTCCTCTTGGGCCGTACTGAGGCCCTCTTGGAGGCTTCTTGGGCCGTCTTGGGGCGGTCTTGGGGGCCTCTTGGGCCGTCTTGGAGCGTTGGGAAGCCGAAAAGACGAGAAACGTCGTACATGCGACAAATGGACGTTTTTCCACGGGAATGGGGCGATCTTTGCTTGTTGGGACCCTCTTGGAGAGCCTCTGGAGGTTCTCCTGGGGCTTTTCCGCGGCGTCTGCGGCCGTGTGGAGGCTATCTTGGGCGTCTTGGACCGATCGGTCGGCGACTCGGGGCCCTCTTGGACCGTCTTGGGGACTCTGAAAGCCAGAAGGAAAAAACAGCTCCGAGTCGGACCGGCCAGGGCACTTCTCTTCTTGGGGTCCCCAGGGGGCCGCCACGCGCGCACGAACTGGAAATATGGTTAACCTGTTACCGGAGATCTTAGCACGCCTCTGGCCCGTTGTGCCGGCGAATTTGAAGCACCGGGAATGTTCCGATGGGAACAACCACATGAAGGGCCCCATCATGTACTCGGGTGCTGAATCAGTTCACGGCGAGGACGAGATGCTTTCAGGACGTAGTTGGGGGAATGGGGACAGTGGTATTCAGATTCGATAGGCGTGGGGGAGGAGGAGGAGGAGGAGGAGGAGGAGGAGGAGGAGGGGAGGAGGAGGAGGAGGAGGAGGAGGAGGAGGAGGAGGAGAAGAGGAGCAGGCGGAAGATGAGGAACATGATAATGATGATGATGATGATGATGATGATGATGCTGATGCTGATGATGATGATGATGAGGAGGAGAAGGAGGAGGAGGAGGATGAGGATGAGGATGGAGGATGATGAGGATGGAGGATGAGGATGAGGATGAGGAGATGAGGATGAGGATGATGATGATGATGATGATGATGATGATGATGATGATGATGATGATGCTGAGGAGGAGGAGGAGGAAGAGGAGGAGGAGGAGGAGGAGGAGGAGGAGGGGAGGAGGAGGAGGAGGAAGGGAGGAGGCAGGTTGA